GGGGCACCTGTGGTAGGAGATATGAGTGGTGTAGGTGAACATACTCACACACACAAACCAACACTCAATGGCACGCCGGTGAAAACATAATCTCCGCCACGCCCCTGGCGGAGGTAATTACAGCCACCTATCTAGACACTAAAATAGATGTATGAACACTCTAAATAACCTTTATCAGAACTTAAGATAAGTAATCACTCTTAGATGAAATGTGACCACCGACATAATTTCATTCCTTACTACAGAGTCAGGTTCCAAATTACCAGTGTTACATGGACTAGTGTAGAGGTATGCCTGCCCAAATCTATTGCAAGCACATTTAGTAAAAGCCATAGCCACAAATAAGCCTAGATTGAGTTACAGTTAAAGGAATAATAGGCCCAATAATTATGCAAAGTCAGGGGCGTAGCCAGGATTTTCAAAGTTGTAGGCACGACTATCTGAGCGGAGCGCCAGCATGGGTTGGCGCAGAGCGTATACATCTGCGTATACATCTGTAACACCCATGCAGGCCTACAGTGCTACATACTGGCTACGCCCCTGAAAGTTGACGAATACTACAGTAACTGGAACCTTGTGTAGTTAATAAGTACATTACCTTATAGCCAAACGTGTATTAGTTTGTCCAATATCACTGCTGGTTACTAAGAAATGTCTAATTGAAATCTGCAGTCCAAGAAATCAGTTGACTGACTTGTTTACAGTTTCGAAACCGCATATGGCGAAACGGGTGTGATACAGATTTATTGTGCACCGGATATTTTCGCACACATGCTCGGCCGTACGCAATGCTAGCGATAGTACAGTACCGTAACTGTATACGTAACAGTAGCTCTGATTGTAATGAACGTGGAATCCACGTACGAATCAAGGACGCTCGTGATAATGAAGTAGGCTGTGTTGGGGGCCAACACTATGGGGGGATCGCGGTCTAACCACGGCCACAGACTAAACATGGAAAGCAGACGGCACTAAGGTATTTACGTATATTGGTCAAACGAATACACCTGTGTCCAAAATTGAAGACATGTGAGTACCCGTTCATTAGCACCCACGGTTATTTACTTGTGCCTCAATACCGAGAATACACCCAGAGATACATTCTACTAGCTCATTAGTCGTTATAAGCATCCCGGGACAAACAATTCTCTGCTCAACACCCGTAGCAACATGTGACGTACGTCACCTAACCGAATTCGAGGCTATTTTGCTTGGCAACCAATTTAGCGTTGGCGCCAGATTACCAGATTTACGGATTTCAATTAGACATTTCTTAGTAATTAGCAGTGATATTGGACAAACTAATACGCGTTTGGCTATAAGGTAATATACTTATTAACTACACAAGGTGCCAGTTACTGTAGCATTCGTCAACTTTGCATAATCAATGGGCCTATTATGCTTTTAAGTGTATCCATAATTTGATAAATTCCCAATATAGCCAGAGCAGAAATGAAAATAGGAAGATAATGTCAAGTGGGTTCAAAATTCGGAGACAGACTGGTTCTCTAATGTCGAATAAACACTAATAACAGAATAAGTCAAACCCTTAAACACATGGTGAAGGCTGTGATGTGTTGGAACAGTTATACTTCATGAATCTGGCAAGGAAACACCTAGCTGTGCTTATAACTACTAGCCTTTATCTCTATCTTCTGTGAGTGACCTTTTGTGAGTATGCATACCGTAGAATTCTGGCTTTCCCGGCTTCTGCTATTAGTAGAAATTCCTCGCTTGGTGACATGCACAGAGAAGATGGGCTATGTAGCTCCTTGAAGATAAAGTGTGGCACACTAGACTTCAGGTTTGGACCTTGTGCAAGCAACCTATCAATGCAAGTGTATATTTTTATTAACGAGACAATAAAAGCTACTTGAGTAAATATTTACTGGGTAATGCAGGGCACACACTTACAGGAAAACATTGGGTAAAAAGCTAGATATTACTAGAACGATAACAAGTACAAAGGTGGATATTTCTAGGACAATAAGAGTGCAAAAGGTATAACTATACTTCTAGGATAAAATATACAGGGTACAAAATATATATACATATTTCTAGGTTGTACAGAGTATACATAGTAATATTTAACAAAAAAGTGTGAAGCAATGACTATATCTGAATTTACTCCAAAAAAAGATAACAACCATGAATAATTAAAATGGATAAACCTCGCAACAAAAATTCTACAAACACCTACTGTGAGCATACTTGCAACATGCAAACATCACGAAATCTTCTTATTGAGCCAGAAATGTGCTCTACAGTTGACTATTTTGAAAACTGTCGGACAGAGTTTTAACTGGTGCACAGATACACATAGAGCGATGCGACTGAGAACGCTAACAGTATAGGCATATGCTAGCGAAAATAGTTCCTGGAAAGAAAACACTATATTTATTTCTGATTGCATAAGAAATGTAGATAACAACAGGAGCGTATAATGACGTATTTGTCATTATACGCTCCTGATAACATCAGGGCGCGAAATTAGCACTGGCCCACTGGCATATGCCGGCAAATTATTTGGAGGGCCGGTAACATTGGCAAAACACCGGCCCTCTGAGTCGGTGGTTTCAGCCATGTTAGCGAGTACCTAATTTTTTTTATAGCATAATGAGCAAATAGCCTATATTACTGTTTTACCTGAAGGATATCATGCCATAATTCATCAACATTTAAAAAATTTGAAATCGAGAATACAAGCGTGAAACATGACATTGATTTTCAAACAAAATTTGTGAGGGCTGGTAAAATGAAAGTGTCAATGACAAAAGGACACAAATGAGTGAGTAAGAAGAAGTCAGTTTTAATTGAGCAACCATCGACGTACATTATAGAAACGATTGCCATCTGTATATCGCAATAATAATTTATAAACCAAAATAAATCACAATTTGTGACTGTAGATGGCGCTACACCCGCTTTGTAGCGATGGCGTTCGAAATAAACAGGTTATGCTGCGTTCTGACATGTTTTGTAAATCTTTACTCTAATATAGACGTTTTATCGGCAAGGTGGAGAGGAAATACCAATTTTGCATTAAAGATATTGTCAATGAAATCTTGTAAAACGAACCAGACGAGTGTGACACCACAGACTGTTTGTGTTTATATAATATGCTATATAATTGCCAAACCCTACCTAATTTGCATAATTTTTTTCTAAATATCAAAACCCCTAGCCCTTATTCATTCACATACCAAAAATGAGCAAAATCCGTTGCACCTGAACTGACTAATGGCAATTCCCATTTTGGCCAAAAAATCGCCGTGGCTCGAAAGTACGTCGACTGGCGTGCTTCAAAATAGGACGTTCCATATGGGAGCATAGCAGTAACAACTACACCCCATTTCAAACATGTGGGTCAAACGGTTCCTGAGTTATCGTTGACCGAAACCAAATGTTGACGGACGGACGGACGGACGGACGGACTGACGGACGGACGGACGTACGACGACCCATGGCAATAGCTCAGCTTGACGATGTCAAGGTGAGCTAAAAATGCTGTTACCAACCCTCTGGGCCAGTGCAAAAAATCTGAATTTCGTGCCCTGAACGTATATGATTTAAACAAATTTCACAATTTTGTACTGAACAAACATGGAATAATGAATTATAACTTGTTCTATCATAGAAAAGAACTGTTAATGAAAACTGCGATCGCCCGGCTATGCACCGGATGTGTAAATTAACACTGTGTAAACATTCGAAAAGTATTATGCTAGCCGCACACTATCCGACCCGAGCGCGATCGGGAGGCTTATGTTTGGCTCGGGAGGTCATTTTGGCCGGATTCGAATTTTGAATAGGGAGCAGATAGTGTGCGAGGGCTTACGACGTGACTCGGATAGTGTGCATGGCCATCCGACCCGATCGGCGAGCGCTGAAGAAAATTGACCAATCATAAGAGCAACGCCATGGGAACCGCATTCAGTAAACATGGCGGGAAAACACTCCCGACCCTTAGTATACGCTAAATCCGCTTGGAACGCGACGAGAGTGCCATGGTTTGCGCCAACTTTGAGTCGGACAGTGTGCGGGGCTTCCCGATCGATCGGGAGCGGGCCGTATAGTGTGTGGGGGCACAGTGCTGTGCACAAAGCAAAATCGGATAGTGTGCGGCTAGCATTAGTTTCGTAAGACTGTTTAGGTTTGCTGAAGATAAGTTATAAAAGTAGCAATACAAATGAGTTGTAGTGAATTTTTGCAACATCGACGAGCTCACAGTAAGTCTATGAATTTTTCTGCGAGAACGCGCGCGCCCTTTTAAACCCTGAATAATTGTATAATGAATAAGCAAAATTTTAGCACAAATTTTATTACATTATACCATTTAGAAATATCCAACTAGGCGCAATAATAGCTGGTTATAGCTGATAATAAGCTGTATTAATAGCTGACCAACTTATAATAATACTTCTTTCTTCGGCTTTTAGACACTAGTAACACAGGAAGCAGGTATAATTACCGTATTGGTAACCACCAGTCAGATGCTTGTCCAATCATTATAGGGACAACATATAGCCTGTTGTGTAAGTTACCTGCCAGTAGATTTATCCATCCAGGCATAGATAGCATTCATCCTGTCAAACTTTGAACTGTGGTCTGTGAAGTACAGCACCCCTTTACTGGTGACTGTCATATCAGTGAGGTAGTTTAGCTTTGCTCCTTCTACCAGCTCAAAGGTGTCTGCCAACATCACTACTTCTCGGTTCTCTAAAAATTCGTTATCATGTATCATTCGAGATTTGTTATCATGCATCATCTATTTAGCCTGCAACATAATTACTGAGTGTCTTTTACTGAGTGCACACACATATACGGAAACAGGTAAAATTACCAAATGCAGCATAAATGGTATTACTATAATGAGAATGGTAATGATTATTTTACAGAACATTTTTGAGAAAGTAATGTTTTCCATAATTCGAATTAAAGAAATAACATTTCCTAGCAGAAAAACTGAGAAACTAAAGCTCCATGAGAAATTTTCCCTCCTTTATTAAAGGGATACTCTCCCTAGAATTTTAGAGCATATTATGATAGTAAGTTGTAACTGCATAAATAATAGCATATACCTACACATTTCTATAATCACGCATGAATTCACGTTTGTCATAAAACAACATTGAATTTCGACCTTCATTTTTTTGGGCGCTGACATATAACACCCGCGACTGTGCTGCCACCCTGGAAAATTTGCGCATTTGCCAATTTATTTTGCACGTTACAGACTGAGGGCTAATTACAAAAGTGCAATTATATTTAAATACCTAAATGCCGTTTAACCGAATAAATATATATTTTAGGACAGATTCGCCTACATTACAACTGAAACTAAGTGTCGTTTACAAGATATTGAAATCCTTCTGCTCTTAAATTAATAAATAAGAAACACCCTCGGTCTGTATAGCCTGCAGCCGAAACGTTGCTTTGCGCAACATTTTCAGTGGATGCGTTTCCAGTGGTGCAACCGTCGTTGTAAGCAACGTTATAGCCATCAGTTTCGAAACATTAAAAAAAAAATTCCTATAGAATATTGAACCATAAAACTTTTTAAGTAGCGTAATTTTAACCTATTTTAACTGAAAATATCCAATGAACCTAGAGTAATGTATTGTATCCCTTTAATTCAGGAAGTTATTGATAGACTAATAACTAATTACTAAACTGTGTTAAAAAAAAATTCTCATGATTAACTTGATACATTTTAGACAACAAACAGCAGAACAGGGGATAGTAATAATATAGTAAGGCTGCTAGAGCTTCACAGTTACCGGCTTGACTGTAGGTATACCTTATATATAAATATGACACTGTACCCTCAGTTTTTACATGCATACAACCAACAACAGTTTATGACATGGCAAGGCAATTAATATGCAGCTCTGGGCACAGCTGCTTAGATGTTCATTAGCTACAGATAGGACATTTTCAATGCAAGCCACTCTTAAAAGGTTTCTTATTTGAAGGGACCAGACACACAACCTTATGATTGAATCTCTGCATAGTAAAAACACAAAAATCTTGAAATGGCTATGCACACAATATAATAACATTGCATACATCACCATGTTCAATCGGTAACTGGTATTAAAAGCTATATATTATTCAGTCATCTTGATATTTTGTCAGCCAGGTTACGCTAAACAAAACATTTTATAGGTGGTCTCACCAATGTGACTTTACATTGCATGTATGTGCACGTTACTGCGTGCATGTGCATGTGTCTGTATGTATATGTGCACATGCGTGCGTGCGTGTGTGGCTAGTGTGTAGGTGCATGCATGCTTGGACGCGTGCATGCATGTTTGCGAGTATCAGCGTGCGTATCCAAGGGTGCATGCGTGTGTGGGTGGGTGCATGCATGCTTGGATGCATGCTTGCGTGTGGGTATGTACCTGTTTGGTTATGTGAGTGCATGCGTTCTTGTGCACACGCATGTGTGCGTGTGGGTATATGTGCGTGTTTGTGTGTGTGAATGCATGCATGCGTGCGTGTGGGTATGTGCATGTTTTTGTGTGTGCATGGGTACACGAGTGCATTAGTGTATACATGTGTGAGTGCATTTACCTGTCGACATGTTAACGAGGTACAACCCCTTGTAGGCATCCAGTATGAGGAGATCACCAGCAGGGGTCAGACTGATGCTCTGCAGTCTTCCACACTCAGCTTCAGAATGTACAGCATCTATTAGCAATATAGAAAGTGAGCAAGGGGAAGAAAAGATGAGAGGAATGAGAACGAGAGAGAGAGAGAGAGAGAGAGAGAGAGAGATAGCTAGATGATATATATTATATATATACAGGGTGCGAAATTAACGGGAGTCCGGAGTCAAATACTCCCCGATTTACTCCCTGATTTGACATATGCAGGAGTCCGTGCGACTCCTTGAAAATTCTGCCATACTAACTAGTTCATTCCAGAGAACGGCCTCATGGAATTACCGTATTTTTTCAGCAAATGTCCAAAGAAATTTTTGGCAGACGTGCAACCACATGAATCTTCAAAATAAGCTACGGGTTGCAGTTGCACATTCCCGCAGACGTAGCGATTTCACAGCAGTTTTTACAGCAATTCTAGAATCGCCGTCAAGTTAAATGAAAACATCGCAGGTCTGCGCTAGGCTTAAGTAATAATTTACTTACCGCACGGCACATTTCTCTTGTGCAACGTCTCATTCTTGCCATTTTTGAATCGCAAAATCTTATTATTGACTGAACCAACGTAGAGGTAACCTGCAGTATGCAAAACAAAACTAATAATATTTGCTGCATAAACTAACTGCCTATAAATATTGCAATTTTACATGTACCTAAGCATTACATTCTTGTGTCTGACGCACCACTGCTAGACATATACATCTAGCAGCATAATATATATAAATTACTTCAATTTCTCATTGCATACTCAAAAATGGGAAAGACATTAATTGCTACAGTAAAATGCGCATAAGTCGTCATCGTCTAACTTGTCAATTCGCATAAGTCGTCATGGAAGTCAAGTTCCCGATTTTCTCTGAATAGTAAATCAATTGGAATAGTCCCGCCTAAGTCGTCATTAATAAGCCGTCATTATGTGCAAGCCATCGCCCTCAGACAGGTCCCATGTAATACAAGCAACAGTAATTTACAATCTGTAAGTCGTTATCAGAAATGCCGATGGCGCAGTGTACGGTCTAGGACTCTAGGGGATGTGCGAGCTGGCTGTCGCAGATATGCGCTTAGATCAAACCGACGATCGCCTGTAGATCGCGCAGCTGAGTTTACTGTGCTGTTGTTGCTGTGTTGTTGTTGATTGTTTCATTCGCATTGTTCGCTTGGACGCATTGCGTTTTTTTTTCAGCTCGCAGCTCGCATTTTTCAGCTCGCACATCCCCAGATTCCCCAGTGCATGCAGCCCAATGCAGGGTGCGAAATCAACGCGAGTCCGGTGTAAAAATAATACTCCCTGATTTGACATATGTAGGAGTCCCTGGGACTCCCTGAAAATTATGCTATATACTAACTAGTTCGTTCCAAAGCACGGTCTCGCGGAATTACCATATTTTTTCAGCAAGTGTTCCAAGAAAATTTGGCAGACGCGCACCGCAAATTTATGTCCTGCAATGTCCAAAAGTGTAATCAACAGCAAGTGTTACAGATAGCCAGCGTGTGCCGCGCTTGGCGCTAGTGCGTACGATGTACGTGCGTTATGGCCAGCAGCGGTGTCGATTGATGTACGGACCCAATTGTTTCATGTCGGCTATGTATGTGGCGCGAACTGACGTCGTGTATGGAGCATGTTTATGACTGCGTAGGGGTGACGAGCGCTTGGGAGGGGAGCCCTACATATATTTACGTGTATATGTCGTCATTTCCGTAAGTCGGCACAAATATGCTGGTCCCAAAAGTGTTGACTTAAATGTGAGTTTTACTGTATTTCAATAATACTGTCATCATAGATGTTTATATCTAAATAGCAATACTTGTGTCAATCCTGAGAATATATGCATGTTGCACACGTGACACCTCACTACACATGCACAATCATTCTACCTATTTATATATGTATAGAACCAGCTGTTGCCGATTTCCATTGGCATGATCAGCATAAACATATTGCTTATACCTTCGTGGGCAAACATAGCAGTTGGTCTCTCCAGAGTTCCTTCGTAGAGCTTTTCTGATGTTTGTAGCCAGTCATTGGCTTCCAGCACACCATCCAGTGGTGCTGGGTTCAGCATCCTAAATGCATAAAAATCAGCTTAAATGTGAAATATATCATTGTAAATAAAGGCAATATGATATGCAAACTTATCAGATATATATATATATATATATATATATATTATATATGCATGGCACCTCTACGTACTGGGCATGACTAATTGATTCATATTCAGTTTTACAGGTATCACTAAATCAGTACACAGTCACATTGTGTCGATGTATCTTTGATATACACTGTTGTATGATAAATCTCTCCCTCTTTCTTTCTCTCTCTCTCTCTCCCCATATTTTCTCTAGATACATATATATATACATTAAGGAAGTATATTTGGAACTTATGAAGCTATCATACTTGCACTATATGGGAAAGAGCAATACCCACAAGATTGGGGAAACATTGTGATCACATAGTATAAATATTTACTATACCCTAGTCAAGCTAAGTACATTATAACAATGTCTTAATTAACCTACCGATATCGATCTGGTTCTATTGGGGATGATATAAGCATGTCAATCAAACCAATGAAAGAAAGTGGAATGACAACAACTGTCAGAAGCAACACTGAGATGATTGACACCCAAGGAGAGCTGCAAACAAAAATAGCAAACAAATTATATACTGTGCAAACCAAATATGAATATAAATACTATACCATAAACGCACGCACGCACGCACGCACGCACGCACGCACGCACGCACGCACGCACGCACGCACGCACGCACGCACGCACGCACGCACGCACGCACACGCACACACACACACACACAAGTATGTATATATATATACAGTCAAACCTCGGTTATCCGAACATTAATTATCTGAATTTCGGATTATCCGAACAAGATCTCAAGGTCCTCTGAATATTTTTAAAATAAGCCACTAGACCACCTGTGACCCGTTGGATCACCCACTATTCAGATGTTATGAAGAATTCAAGCCAATTTCAATATTGCACCAAAATGAAGGTTTATTTTGAGATAATTTAATTAAATATTTCAATCCATTCATGTTATTCATAACTCAAAAAATACATTTTATTGTTCACTTTTCCTGCGTGTAGCGCTGTAGAAAGCTAAATAGGCGGCGCGCGTTTGACTTAAAAACGTTGCTTGGAAACAGTTGGTACAGTTTCTGACATAATCTTCCTTCCTTTATTTACGATCAGATCAGTTATCCGAACAATCGGTTATCCGAACAAAATACTCCCCGACCATCTCGTTCAGATAATCGAGGTCTAACTGTATCTTCGTGATTCTATTAGACGCCGACAAAAACTAAAATATCAGTATATCTGAGCACATTATGCGATATCTTTATGAATCAGATATATAGAATTGGTTCAAGGAACTTGTTTTCTAATGTGTTTATTTATTCACAATTTTATATAACATGCATATGATATGATATGATTTTATAGTATAGCATTATAACTACGACAGAGGTACCAAAACATTTAACTTCTAAGATAATACTGCTACATAGCCAGCAGAACTTTGTAACTTAATTGTTCCCAGTACGCATGTGCGTGTAAAAACAAGAATCAACATTTAAATTGAGAAAAATTGACATTTTTGATAGAATTGCAAGCCATATGATACCTCACAAAAGGTAAAAAAACGTATACAGACTATCGATCCATTCAATAATTAGATGGTTATAGAACTAAATATATATATGCTTTAATTAGCATTGGTATACCTGGTACAATACCTAAAACACCTCCACCTAGTGACACCAATAACCAAGCAATAGATCAATTGATAAACTGCAAAGGATTATGAATTAAGACTAGAGCTATATCCCTTGTACATGCAAGCCAAAACCGAGATGTCCAAACTCACCAGTAACGAATTTGCTTAGTATCAGCAAATAATTCATCCGGATAGCTAAAATTTTTTTTTAAATATTACACACAAATTAAACCACATCATAATTATTAGATGCCATGTCAATCGTTCGATCATAGATTGACAATTCCACAGTTAGTAACGTTACACTTTAAAGGTTATTATAGATCTTTCTGGCCTGTAAAATGAAAATGTATGTGTGTTCAATCTCAGTAATAATACCAACAATACTTCTAGTCTAGACCTTCTAGATATATGTGAAATAAAAAACATTATATATATTATTAATTAAACATTACATTATAATGGCTGTTTAACACAACTTCCTTCTCTTCCAACAAAAAAAGTTGATGTTTTGGTTAGTAACATTACGTACACAATTCTGAAGGGCTTAGCATTTTATAAAAATAAAGTTTAGTCCCAATAGAATCATGCAATTTGATTTTAAGAGCTAAGAGATATTCAGTTGAAGAATAAAATTGATTAAAATGAATTGATTTTGAGAATGAATTCTTCTTCCTTTAGTCAGCAAAATAATTTTGTATGTTTTACACAGAAAATTTTGTGTTAAAAAATCAACCAAGCAAACGTGGTGTCCATGTACATTTTTATGGAAGACACGACACAATAAACATTTTTTCCTGAAACTGTGGTCTATATATATATACACAATCATATGAAAGTAAAATTAACTGAAAATTTACATGATTCTAAAATTTAAGGTCATGTCCACTTGATCATGGAATTTCCCATATATGGATCTTAGATAGATCTATCTTAATTGTGTAGTGCCAAATTTATTTATTACTTGAGAAAGCAGTGCGAGTACAATGTGTTGAAATTACCACATATACCATTTTATAGAATCGCTGTGGAATTAATTTATTGCAATAAAAATATTGATCTAATAACCAATGAAAAGAAATATGTTGGCATGTTTTTATATGCAGTACATACATGTGACGTGATATATTAGTTATTACATCACGAATTCATGGTTAGGGTTTGCAGGAGTCGAAATAAGCGATGGTCCGATGGTCCGGGGCCATCAAATAATCAGGAGGACCATCAGATTTTCAAAGTCAATAGTCCAACAGACCATTGAATATTTTGGTCCCATTTTATGGTAATTTTCTTTAACGTTTCCACATTCCAATATACTATTAAAATGAATAAACAATTACTGTATCGTTTGATACATTCATTGTACAGCAAACGAGTTTGGCACTCGCCCGCTCGCCAATGTCGAGTGAAAATAATATCAAGCGAGTAAAAGCTAAAGCTGACTCGCCCATGTTGGCATGTAAAAATAATTGTCTAAAACTTTAATCAAATGTTGGTTCCTTATATTAAATATATCCAAACATTGATGAAAAACAGTTATCGGCTATCGCACGCCATCCTCACTTTCTATTATCAAAGGTCGCCGATGGTCAGCACAGGGTGGCTGTGTATACGTGCCTGGGGTGGCATATTGATTGATATATGGGGGAGGGAGGGGAGTGGGGCAGGCAGGGTGGTGCTGGTGGGGGAGGGAGGGGAGTGCAGGATTGTTTAAAAGTAGCGTGGGGCATGTTCATTATATTTATAGGGGGTGGGCACCGCAGGGATCAGAGGACGACAGCAAAATTATTTCCTGGAATTGAGGAAAAAGCTGCAATCGGGAATGACACACAATGAGCGTGCCGGCACGCACAAATAAACGTTACAAGTGAAGTGTGAATTTCATTACGATTTTCCATGTATATATTGTAATATCAGGAGTGTATAATATCGATATATATCTCTATATATAATATATAGATCTATCTATATATATATATATTATATATCTTACCTAGATCTATACTATTTATATAATATAGATCTCTATTTTATACACTCCTGGTCAGGGTTCTCCCAGGATGAAATTGAAACAGGGGGAGGGGAGGGGGAAGGGGGAAGGGGGGAGGGAAAAGGGGAGGGGAAAACTAGGGGGTCCGGGGGGGGGGGGCGTGTTTTTTACCGTGAATGCGTAAAATCGCCACCACACCATAGACGGTATTTGGAATACTTGTATATAAGATAGCCGAGTCGGTTTACAGTAATTGTTAGGGTTTGGGGCAGGGTGACTGTTTGTACTTGTGTGTGGTCTGCAGTGCATGCGTAGTGTAGGACGTTTACGCATTAATGGTACCGTAAAAATACACGCGACCGTGGGGGGGGGGACCTGGTCGAATGGGAATTCTTGACGATCGATTCCCATGCTGCCAAACTTTTATTGTGGTCGAATTTAATCGGGGCGGAGTAATGTATAAATGAAGTACCTCGGAGGCCGCAACGATTGACAACGTGCGGGGCAGTTTCGCAAACACCGGGTGGTCGCGCGTCCGGTGTTTTCCCGCAACGTGGGAGCGGGCCTTCGTAGGGTACATATTAATGAACTAAGGCTCCGCCGCACACCTAGCGGTGGCCCGGGTGGCCCGCGGGCCACCAAAAACTTGATGTCGGGCCGACCAAAATTTCCAGAAAGTTAAAATTTGGTGGCGCGACGGGCCACTAAATTTTCAAAGATGTCTATGTGATAAAAATAGATTGTTTCTACGTGGCTATTCTCATTCAAAAGAGAGCAGCAATTCGTGTGAGCGGGCAAGGGCCACAAGTACGCACGCTGGCAGCAATTCATACCGCGGGGCATAGCACAAACGGGCGTGGCGCAACGGATTTTATCTGGTCTACTGCCGGGTGGCTTGCAACAAGCCCACGTTGATCTGCGTGTTAGACTGGTATTTCGCCACTCACGCTCTGGTAGACAATGTAGGCACGTCTGCGGACGAACAGTTTCTCGGCGGCGCGAAACCAGTCTAGCACGAGGTCAAAATAAGTTTGATGGCGGTGGCGCGCATGCGCCATAGCGATATTTTGCAATGCGCCAGCATTACATGTGGATTATCATTGTTATCACACAGTGCGACACAAATGCAGCGTTCTGCATAAAAGTACTTGAACATTGATGTGCCGGATCTGGACATGGAGCGAATTCAACATGCTATTAGCCTCAATCATCAATGTCAGTGTGTGCCATCGTGTGGGGTTTGTTTAAAGACTTGTGCAAGTGCATCAGACGGCCCAATTTTCAAATAATATACAATACGAGATTGAAATAAAGATTTATAATGTTTTACTTTGTTTTTTTTCGGGCCACCAAAAATTGAAAATCAATGATTTTGGTGGCCCGATCGGGCCACTGAAAAAAAAAGTTAGTGTCGAGCCTTGTATATGATATGCACTGAACCAAAAGAGGACCTTATAACGGCTCATAGATTGCAAGTAAATTTTGTACAGATCTAAAAATAATTAAGCGTCGAGGCCTGCGTTAATTCAGTTAGCAGATAGATTAACTTATTAACCACATTACTTTGCCTTAAGTAGCATTGTACTTGCACAACTTGGCTGAGACTGAGCAGTTCAACCCTCAGCAATTTGAAGTTTATTATGTTTCTCTTTTTTTAATTAAGTATTTTAGTCTTTGGTGTCTCCAAAGATTAAAATACTCAACTCAAAAGTGATATTTTTGTGATGAAGAATGTTTAATAATGCTGCCTCAGAGTGCAGGAAATTGCATCTAAGTCTAAGAGGTGTAATTTTCAAAAAAAAATTCTGGGGAGGGTGCCGTTAATTTGGGCCAGTTAACTTATTGACTCACTCGCCCAGTTTGGCAAGAAGTTTTTATTTTAAAGTTCTAACACTGTTGTAGGTAAATAATTAAACCATTTTACCACCATGTAAAATCTCTTTCTTATGCTTGCACGCCAGATTACTTTTAGAGAACAATTTGAAATTTAGGAGAACCATCTAAAATCTAGGAGGACCATCTAAATTTCAAACTAGATGGTCTTGTGGACCATCTCTTCTTTTCTCCTTATTTCTACCCCTGGTTTGGTCTCTGATGCCGAGATGTTGATTAAATGTAAAAAAGCATACTGGCTCAAGGATTGATCCAGCTCAATTATGATACGATTCTATAAAATTTAATGTAGCGGAGCTCTATAGCAGTGCTGCCACTCAAGATATTACAAAAAAATATATAAAATCTGTCCAGAAAAAAGTATTAAAATTGCCTAAAAAAGTATAATAAATTTGTATCAACCCACCATGATTTGTAGTCACTTGTTACCTTATACACTGTTACCAAATACATTATAGCCTATGTGCAGCATACATGTATGTAAACAAGCTTCACAAATGATGTGTGCAATGTCTTGAGGAGTTGTCTCTTGAACCCTCAGTTTGGAATATTTCAATGCAGTGTTTCCCTGGGCCAGAAAGGTCTGTGAAGCGGTAAATTTTTGTGTGGTGTGTTTGTGTTTCGAGGTCCTAGCAAAGTGAGCAGTGCATGTGCTTGGCCAACTAAGGGGGTCCGGAGGAGCGCTTTGCTCCCCCAGAAATTTTTTGAAAAAATGGTGCAATTTGGTGCATTCTAAGCTATTCTGGACACCTTGTATAAGACTATTGAATCTCTTTTTCAAGTTGTCAAAAGTTTTGTTAGCGAGGCTGTGTTTTGGACAAATTTCTGTGTGGCGGCTGAGAATTTGAGCGAAGCGGCCCACCTCGCTCGTGTAAATCCAGGGGAACCACTGCACAATGCAGAGAGCCGAGAACAAAAACATTCCACTGAACAGAGCACACATCACTCCTGCAACAGGACTAACAAAGCACATCTTTAATCTCATCAAATACAGTCCACCATCTTTGGCAAAAAAGTACTTATTTAAAAATGAATACTTTACTCTAGAATTTGAGAGAATATTATCAGGAGTAAGATAATATAGGCAATTTGTCATCCTGAGTCCTTTCCCCCCCCCGACGCCCCTAATATTGTGACTGTACGTCGAGCGGTTAAGATTTGTGCCCAACTGTTGACACACGAACGCACGGACGGACGCACGGACGGACAATCATGCGATTCTACAAGCTGCATCTGACATCTGACTACATCAGATGAGCTTAAAAGTATACTTTGAACTTTCTTAAAAAAAGTACAATACATTTAAAAAAGTATAAAGTGGCAGCACTGCAGTATATAGGCGTACACATAGTCACACACTGACATGGTGTCATTAGTGATAGTGTATGACTGTATAGGACACCATTGCACAATTTGCAGCCGATTGCTGTGCCGTGGCGGAGTTCAGCCTATGCTATACCAGTGTTAGAGCTTTAAAATAAAAACCACTCGCCAAACTGGGCGAGTGAGTCAATAAGTTAACTCGCCCAAACGGAATCTGTACTCGCCCAAACTTTAAAACAAAAATGCTTGTCAAACAATAGTGAAAAAAGACGTTGACACATGCCGATGAGTAAGTGCGGATAATCCTTTTGACCTCAAGAGCAGGCTTAAACATGTGATTCGTTTATGTATAAAAGAATTTGCATCTGCCGGCTTTGCTAGTAGAATCAACTAATGCCCTGGATGTATGCAGGATACAATGTCACAGATGAAATTCAAAAGCCTAAATTGGATTGAAGAAGAGTTTATGCTTCCTTAAATCGTTATAATTTCATTATGGCATTCTGCTACTGTCAGTTGTTACATGTAAGTATGCACTGCAGTGCCACTGCCAGTGCATTGGTGTGGTGATGGTTACTGTGTAGTTTTTGCATGCCGTTAATTAGTTACAGGTGGTCAGACTCTCTATTTCAGCTTTAGGCTTCGTAGGTAAATGCATGACTGCTGAACCTATATTGTCTTGCAAATTAGTTGTTGCTACTTACGTTTTACCCACCGAAGGGCCGCGGCGAAAGGCTTTTCAATCATCTTTTGTCGGGC